CTGCTGCTGTTGCTGCTGCTGCTGCTGCTGCTGTTGCTGTTGCTGCTGCTGCTGCTGCTGCTGTTGCTGCTGTTGTTGAGCCTGCTAGAACTGCAGCTGTAGGGGGCACTGCACTCTTGTTGCTGCTGCTGTTGTTGCTGCTGCTGCCGCTGCTGCTGTTGTTGCTGCTGCTGCTGCTGATGCTGTTGTTGTTGTTGTTGTTGTAGTTGCTGCTCCTGTTCTTGCCTGGATGCTGTTTGTGCTGCTGTAGGTGATGCTGCTGCAGCTGGTCCTTCAGCTGCTGCTGCTGCTGCTGTCGGTGGCGCTGCTGCTGCTGCTGCTGCTGCTGCTGCTGGTCCTGCTGCTGCTACTGGGGGTTTCCTCTCTGACGAAATAAAAAGAATATAATTATTTTGTGTTTTTAATTTATTTATTATTTTTTAATATGCATGCAGAGAGAGAGGAGATACAGCAGACACACAACCACACCACCCTGGGGTGTATAGGCAGCTCAGCTCATTGAGGGTTTACGGTGTATAACAACTTTTTTTGTTTTTCTTTCTTTTATTTATTTTATTAAAATAAATTAACTCCATTATATTTCCACTTTCGAGGCATTGCAGCAGCAGCAGCTGCAGCAGCAGCAGCAGCAGCAACAGCAGCAGCAGCAGCAGCAGCAGCAAGGGGGCCCCCAACGGGGGCCCCCATCTCCTTCGTTTTGTTGCAGCAGGCGCAGCACGAGTTGTTATAGAGCAGCAGAACAATTAAAATATATTAAATATAAAATAAAATATTATATTTTATTGTTTTGTTGTTTCTTCTTTTTCTTATTCCCCTTCTCCTCGCTCAGCAGCAGCAGCAGCAGCAGCAGCAGCAGCAGCAGCAGGAGTAGCAGCAGCAGCAGCAGCAGCAGCAACAGCGGTCCCTCAATACTTTTACACTTTTTGCTGCTGTTGTCTCCTTCTCCTTCCCTTCTTTGTCCTTCTCGCAGCTCTTGCTGCTCTTGCTGCTGCTGCTGCTGCTGCTGCTGCTGCTGCTGCTGCTGCTGCTGCTGCTGTCTCCTCCCCGCTACGACCCCCAGGGCCTCCGCCTCGGGGGCCCCCGTTATGCACAGGGGGCCCTTGGGGGGCCCCTGCTTCATAAGAGGGGCCCTTGGGGGCCCTTCATACACAAACCCCTAAACCCTAAACCCTAAACCCTAAACCCTAAACCCTAAACCCTTGGGGGGCCCCTGGGGGTACTGCAGCAGAAGCAGGAGAAGGTTTCATTTGGTTTTGAGGGGTGGAGGTTTGGGGCTGCATGCGCATGCATTGCCTCAGCAGCAACATCTTTCCATAGAGATATTTCTGCTGCTGCTACTTCTGCTGCTGCTGCTGCTGCTGCTGCTGCTACTGCTGCTGCTGCTGCTGCTGCTGGAGGAGACGATCCCAAGGAGACGGAAGATGGGAGACACCGAAAAGGAGACACTTCTGTCTTCGGGCTGTCCCCTGGCTCGTCCCCAGGAGCCGCAGACACAGACAACAGCAGCAGCAGCAGCACCAGCAGCAGCAGCAGCAGCAGCACCAGCAGCAGCAGCAGCAGCAGCAGCAGCACGAAAGGAGACAGAAATAAAACTATCAACAGAAAGAGAAACATCATCGATACCCTCGCCAGACGGCAAGTGGATCTATCCTTCAGAAAAACAATTCTACAATGTAACGCTGCTGCTGCTGCTGCTGCTGCTGCTGCTGCTGCTGCTGCTGTTGCTGCTGCTGCTGCTGCTGCTGCT